TGGAAACAGGAGCAATTGTATCTCAGCAGTAGACAGAACTTAGTGGTAGCAGTAGTAGTAGTAGTAGCAGCAGCAGCAGTATTATTTGCAGCAGATTAGTAGTGTTGGAAACAGGAGCAATTGTATCTCAGCAGTAGACAGAACTTAGTGGTAGCAGTAGTAGTAGTAGCAGCAGCAGCAGCAGTATTATTTGCATCAGAAACAGTAGTAGCAGTAGCAGAAGTAGTAGCAGTATTATTTGCATCAGAAACAGTAGTAGTAGTAGCAGCAGTAGTAGCAGCAGCAGCATTATTATTTGAAGCAGAAACAGTAGTAGTAGTAGCAGCAGTATTATTTGCAGCAGAAACAGTAGTAGTAGTAGCAGCAGTATTATTTGCAGCAGAAACAGTAGTAGTAGCAGTAGTAGCAGCAGAAGTAGCAGTAGTAGTGGGTTTGCCAGCAGTTGGTAGCAGTTATTATAGTTATACAACTTCTTTTCATGAGCGAAGTAATTTTACTTAATAATAGCTCTATTAGTTGTAATAGCTGTAATAATGGTAGTAGAAATTGTTTTTTTTTTTGATATTCCAAGACACAGGTATCAGCAGCAGAGAGTAGCAACACTAATGTAGATGCCAAACAGCCCAAGGGAAAAACACCTGGTAAGTATTCTTGGCTTTCACCTACATCATCGAAAATTTTCCCAAGATTTATATACAACAAAACTTCCATAGTCTGAAAGAGCAACAAAAACTATATATCTCAGCCACATTTCTAGCTAAAAGAAGTTTTAGATACGGAGAAACAAGCGATTGATTATACTCATTATAATTTAGTTGAGATGTATGGGACCACCATCTTTGTGTCCTATTGAGGRGCACAAAGCTGGAAGCCAAATCRCAAAGGTTGAAAATCATGTTTCTATTACACCCACTTCAATATTTTCATAACAATAATCATCAAAAAAAAGTAAACAATTATGTACCAAGTTAAAAACTTATTATTTCAATCRAATTCCCCTATTTCTAATGCTCTGAAAACGCTTGACAGAATTGCGTAGATTTGACTCGTAATAAATCAAAAACTAAACATCGATAATACAAAATTATTTTGGTAAAGCTTTTCTTATAA